ACTTCCTCCACAATTAATAGCTTAAAAGCAATGCCAGTTAAAAGCCATGATAGGATTATTTTTATTATTTTATTTACGTGCCCGTATCACAGCCTCAGGAAGTCTTGATGTCACGTGCCCCAATGAGGGGATTATTTTTATCAAGACGGAGAAGGTTTCAAGTTATTCTTTAGTTCATTTGAGAAAAATAAGCAGGTAGCAGTAGCCAAGAAAAACTGGAAGATAAAAGAGAAATATTCAACTGTGTTATATACTACCAGATATAAACGGAGTCCTAAACCTACGACATTGTGGTAAATCTACCTAAGGTAAGACAATGCAGGGATACCAGGTCTCGGAATAACATCTGAGAGGCCAGAAACACAGCCCATTTGATGAAATGATTGAGTTCTACAACAAAGGAGACATATGGAATTAATAGGGAAAGAAAAAAAAATTCAACAAAGAGAAAAAAGGACAGTTGATTATTTATTTGAATAAAAAATTCAATTAGATTTCTGTCACACACAATAGACCCAAACAAATTAAAGGTGGATTAGGGGCTAAATACACGCATATACATGTATACACACACATACATACAGATATATATGCATATACATATATTCACACACATAAACACATATACATATATTTTTTAAGAAAAAAACAATAAAACTAAAACTTAGAGGTATACAAATATAAACTGTGATCTGGTTTCAAGATTATTAAAGGCTTTCTAAATAGCTTAAAGTAGAAATCACAACAGTAAAAGATAATCTGATTATAAATAAAAGAGAGGGAAAACCTCTTTATGTAAAGAAGACCATAAAATTTAAAAGGCAAATAATAAACTGGGGAAATACCTGCAAAATATATTCATATCCTAAATATACAAAGAGTTCTTAGATATCAATAAGAAAAAGACAGAACCTAGAGCAAAAATGGGCAAATATACACCTAAACAATTAATTACAACGTAAGAAACACGTACAGCTAATACATGTGAGCTGTTCAGCTTCACTACCTATTGAAGAAATCCAAATAAACAAAACATGAGGTGTTTTTATGGCTTATCAGATTAGCATAAATTCTAACAATAATATTAATAGCATTAGCAAGGGTGTGAGGTGAAATGGGTGACGGCTATGGATGCGAAGAGTTTTTATATAAAACCTTTTAGAAGTTAATTTGGAAATGTGTATCAAGAACCCTGGAAATGGTTGTACCAACTGAATGAATCATTCCACATATGGACAGTAATTCCAAAGCAATAATAGGTGCTATCCACAAAGACTTAGGTTCATACATATATCAGGTCTATGTGAATGCAAATTACGGGAAGAGAAGGCGTAAAACGTTGATCTAATTCAATCACATTGAGATAAGAAAATGAATACAGAAATGAAAATACAAAGGAAGAAAACCCTCCAGTTCACCTAGAACTGAGACAAAACAAACGAGTCTCAAGAGTGAAGAATAAACTATTCAATTTTTTGGCAAACAACTCTCTAATACCTATTTTTAGCTAAAAGTCCGTCTCTTAAATGTAGCCTCAATTTATTTCAGATTGAATTTGTTGTGTTGGAATTCCTCAGGTGAAAGGACATTTTGTGAATGATGGTTTTAGACATAAGAAACTCAATTTTCAAAGAGCATAAAAACTCAAATCCCCAAATGCTTTAATTTCTTAAGCAAGAAAGAATGTATCACTTTACAGATTCATGTTCATGTTTAGAGGAGGTGAATGCAAATTAAAATTTCCCAATATTTTAATGAAGCTGCTTCCTCTTACAGAAGTGCCTCCACCCATGGCTTATTCTCAGAACCCGAGAACGAAGCTGAGCAATCCACAGGGGGCTGCCATCTGAGGATCTATCTGTGCATTCTCGCTGCACACCAGCTGATGACTTCACCGGCATGCTTGGTCAGGGTGCCACTTCCCTTAGCACTGCTGTGGCCATCAGGCATTTTCTTCTTCCCAAAGTGGCACTGCCTTTGTGCTAAGGCCATACCCCCACTTCTGTAGCCCTAGTTGGAATCCAGAGAAGACGGAAAGTCAGCCAGGCCCCTGTGTGGGATTAACCTGTCTGAGGGTTGCCGAGATGTCCTGTTACACACTGAGGGCTGTGACCATGGAAAAGGGATTTCAATCACGTCACATCCCTCCCATTTGCCCAGCAGGGGGGCTCTTAAAGAGAATGAAACTGAGCAATGGGAAATGCCTTCCAAGGACACACAGCTCACTCCCTCAAAGAGAGAGGCCCATGCCACAGCCGATTCCATCAGCTATGGCACGGTTTAGAGGGCCTTTGTATTATCTACTTATAATCAAACATTAGAGTTTCCCTTAGGACAACAGTGGCATTTGGCTCCAAGGAACGTAAGTCTCAAGATGAGGAAGTTCGAAATCCTACTTTTACATAGTGAATGCTTCTTCACAGAATTGGTGCCCTTCCTTCATATCTGTGTGCCTGGCAAATTCCTATCCTTCATTCAAACTCAGCAGGTATCCCCTATTCCTTGAAGCCTGGCCCACCTCCTGGGGTGGAGCCGACCACAGCATCACTGTGTCTCCATGCCCTGCCCTTTACACAGCCCTGCTGGGGTCTGGGGCTTGGTGCGGCCTCTGTCTACTCGTCTCTTTCCCCAACAACAGGGGAGATTCCTGAGGGCAGGAACTGTATCTCAGGCACACATTAGAAACTCCACGAATGGCATGATTTAGCCATTCCACAATGTATATACATAATTCAAAACACCGTGTTACAAAGATAAATAACTTTTAAGTTTAATTAATTCTATTTAACATATTTTTATCACTTTAAAATTATAAAAACGAAACTCAATAAACACTTGTTGACTTAAATAACTAGATGACTAGATGTGATGTGATGGGTCAGAAGGGGAGGTGGAAATGGAAGAATTCTAGAGGTTAGGGACTCCATATCTATAGTTTGCACAATTTCTGGCACATAATAGGTGCTTGATATATATATATTTTTTTGAGACAGAGTCTCACTCTGTCGTACAGGCTGGAGTGCAGTGGCGTGATCTCACCTCACCGCAACCTTTGCCTCCTGGGTTTAAGCGATTCCCCTGCCTTAGCCTCCTGAGTAGTTGGGATTACAGGCACGCACCACCACGCCCAGCTAATTATTGTATTTTTAGTAGAGATGGGGTTTCACCATGTTGGCCAGGCTGGTCTTGAACTCCTGACCTGAGGTGATTCACCCACCTCAGCCTCCCAAAGTGCTGGGGTTACAGGCGTGAGCCACCGCACCCCGCCTATAGATATTCTTTGAATAAATGAATGACTTTACGTAGTGTGCTAATGCAATAAAGCCTTCAGCTTTTTCCTCACTACAGATTGTTTCCTCTTTCTTGTGCCCTTCTTTTCTCTCTTCCCACCCCATAGTTAGCACACCGCTCTAGTAAGAAAAACCTCACGCACGTCTTGGAAGAAAGGTCGGCAGGTCATAGAAGCCCCAGGAAAAATACTGTTCTCACTTTTCTGGGAGGCACTCAAGACTCCTTTAGCATAAAGCCAGTTTTTATTTTGATGAGAAACAACAGCTTGTGTTTGTATTCAGCTTTCCCAGCACTATCATGTTATCTTCTCTGACATCGCCCCCCTGCAATACAGGCAGGCCAGGCAAGAGCACCCCAATGTGGTGGGAAGGAACCAGCTCAGGGACTGCCTAACACTGTGCGGTGGAGCCCAGGATGGAGGACCCAAATCTGAACTCCTCTGTACCATCCTGCTCTCACCTACCAGTGTCGTTCATGCCACAGAACCAGTCTGTCAGCACCATCCCTCTTTAAAAGCACTTAATGCTTCAGAAGAGGAAAGTGCAGCATTCAAGACCAGAAACTCTTGTAGGAGAGAAATCTGTTTTTTTTTTTTTTTGAGATGGAGTCCTGCTCTGTCACCCTGGATGGAGTGCAATGATGCAATCTTGGCTCACTGCAACCTCCGCCTCTTGGGTTCAAGTGATTCTCCTGCCTCAGCCTCCCAAGTAGCTGAGATTACAGGCACCTGCCACCACGCCTGGCAAATTTTTGTATTTTTAGTAGACATGGGGTTTCACCAGGTTGGCCAGGCTGGTCTCGAACTCCTGACCTCAGGCGATCCTCCCGCCTCAGTCTCTCAAAGTGCTGGGATTATAGGCGTGAGCCACTGCGCCTAGCCAGAAATCTGTTTTAAGAAGACAGGATGTAGGTGGGAGAGAAGAAAGTTCTGGACTTCCTGCTGGAGAAAATGCAAAATTCTTGAAGGGATTTCCCTATGCTGAAGGAGTCTGACTGTGTGTGTAGGAGGACTCAAGAGCATCTTCACCTTATCTCTGATGAACAGCAATGGGAAGGTTCATGACACAGGGCAATTATTTGCAAAAACGTAAATAAAATGAACAACGTCATTTTGGATGGCTTGCAACTGGGCACAGAAGCCAGGAATTTCTAAACACATCAACATTTGAGAAAATACTAGCTTTCTCTGATCCTGAATGAATAAAAAATCTCCTTTAAAAGAGAATACAGAGAACCAAAGGTGCATTAAAGAATGGCAGATAATTAAAATATAATAACACAAAATTTACATTTCATATAGGTCAAATGATTTCCTCTGAATCTTGCGTCCGAATGGTTTTTCCACTTTCATACATACAGTTACCGCAAATGAGTTAATCTTTGACATTTAACATTAATTCATGCTTTTCAGAAGGCCCTTAAATACCCAGTTCACATGTTAAACTTCACTTTCCACCACGCAGCCCCGCGAAAGGCCTAGATGCATGGTTTTTGCAGCTGTGATTCAAAGCACCATTTGCTCGCTGGCATTTGCAGAACTGAAAGTTTAAAGGAAATGATCAGCCACAGAAGTGATAAGGTTTCTAAACCTTAATCCGTAATGTGATAGTTACCGCCTCCACTTAACCTAAGAGCCCAACAATGTCCTCAAGCCTGGACCATCTGTTGCCGTTGAACTTGATTTCTTAGTGCGTTTGCTGTAAGCTTACCTGAATTGGGTGAGATGTGTAAACTGCTCATGTCCTTGGACAGGCCATTGGTTTTAGGGCTGGAGATGGGTGCGCAGGCCGACGTGGCTCGGGGTGGCCTCTTCCCTGGGACTTTCACAGTGGTTCTCAGAAGGTCAATCTCCTTACCATGAACATTCTGCATGTAATCCTGTTCAAAATGTTAAACATCCAAGAGAGATAAAAAAAAAAAAAAAAAGACCTTTTACAACCTAGAACAAAAGGGTCTATCAGATGTCATGAGTTATAACCCTAAGACCCTTCCACTGTGGAAAGCACTTTAAAAATAATGAGATTTTTATCCGCAGAGTACTGGTAGCATCATCATTATATTTAAATCAGAGTTTTGCTTCTGTGTCCTGAACTAACCCAGGAGCTAGAGATATAAGGAGAGACACAGCAGGTACCTCCTTCAAGGGGCATTAGGAAGTAAGTCTACACATAAAATCTGATTTTTTGAACTCCTGCTTATCAGAGGGTACATTAGGCTCCTCCCATAAATTCCAAATAAAATTCCATGGAGTAGGAAACCATGTTGTAATAACCTTTCTGTTTCAGCTGGGAATGTCATTAAAATCTTGATAAGGCTGAAGCTGTCTGGTGAAAAATCAGGAGAAAACTGGAAGTAAAAAGGTCAAGTGTTTTGCTAAGAACCAGGAAGACATCCAAGGGGTGGGAGTTATGGCATCAAAAAAATAGGGAGCTCAGGGATGGATACAAAAAATGTTAGATTTTAGATTTGGATGTTAGAAAAAGAATCTGGCTTTCTAGGCCTTAGAAGCACATGACCAGCAGCGATCAGGGAACTACCGGGACGCCTCGGTGGACAGTGACAGCTCTCTGGCAGCTCACTTAACTCACCGTGGAGTCAAACAGTACCTGGGAACTGGCTGAAGGGCAGGGAAGGGGGAAGGTGAACAAGCAACTGAGAGCCGGGGGATGGGCCTGCTGGCCAGTGAGTTACTGATCCTTTAGTGCATCATCATCATCATCATCATCATCACTCACTGTTACTTATTTATTTTTTTTTGGTAATGAGACTCCTTGCCTGCAAACACAGTATCTTAAGCACTCTGGACACATATTACTCAATATCACACCTTAAGAAAGAATATATACTCAGCCCTCTGTAACAATATAACAATTTAAAAAATACAAAATAAGAAAATATTGCATTTACGTTGCATGAGGTATAAGTAATCTAGGGATGATTTGAGGTATACGGGAGAATGTGTGCAGGTTATATGTAAATACTACACTGTATTATATAAGGAACTTGAGCATTTGAGGATCTTGGTATTCTGGAGGGTCCTGGAGTCAATCTCGCATGAATACAGAGAAATGATTGTATTTGGAAATCACCCTTGGAAACACATTTCAAGTGTTTAGACTCTGCAGGAAGTGGGAATAAGTATGCTCTTTCTTTGGCAGCATCTTGGTGAATTCCCTTTAGATTTGAAAATCAATCAATTTGTCTTTGTTATAAGTAATTAAGTTCAGGTGAACATAATTCCATTTCATTTATTAAGTTTTTTAGAGATGGGGTCTTGCTAAGTTGCCCAGGTTGGTGTCCAACTCCTAGTCTCAAGTCACCCTCCCAAAGCACTGGGGTTACAGGCATGAGCCACCGTGCTCAGCCAACGTAATTTTAGAAGAACTGCCTAATAAACTCACATGCTGGATGCAAGGGACCGAGGCAGGGTGGGGAAGTGGGCTGCTGTCTTTTAACTGCCCAACGGCAGTTACCTGATGCAGAGAGATAGTTGGATAAAGTTCTAGAATCATTATGCAAGGGTTGGAAGCCTCTGTCTCAAGGACTAGGAAACTTGGCCAAGTGTTTTGAGGGAGCTACTGGGACACAGGGTAGCAGAGAGGCCAAAGCGAGATCCCAGTGGCTTCCAGGAAACAGGCTGTCTACCTTTTTTTCTTTTTTGAGACAAGAGTATCACTCTACTGCCCAGGCTGGAGTGCAGTGGCATGCTCTCAGCTCGCTGCAGCCTCTGCCTTCTGGATTCAAGTGATTCTCCTGCTTCAGTCTCCTGAGTAGCTGGGATTACAGGCGAGCAGCACACCTTTTAATTGCAGGACAACACCTACACTGGTGTCACAGGTTTATCAACAAGTAGATGTTTGCTGATAGAAGAAATGGCACAACGAAAGCCACGAAGTACACAATTCCAGTTCAGGGGAAAGGAATGAAACCGTGGGTCCTTGGGGCAGAGGATGAGAAGACGTTTTCTCCCTGCCCAACCATGGGAAGGTGGGTGAGCCTGGGGTGTGACAGCGCAGACCTCCCGCAACCGACACGACTTAGACGGTGCCACGTGGAGTCAAATCAGACTCAAGGGAAAAGGGTGCAGGAATTCTCAATGGCAGATGGGCGGGAGGAGAACCTCTTACATGAGGGCACAGCCACACTGGCGGGGGACATTCTGGCAGAGAAATACAGAAATGCAGGTTCCCCTACACCAGCCCCAGAGGGACAAGATGCTTCAGGGTCCTTGGTGACCCCTGAGGACAGAAGTCTTGGTGCAGACAGAAAGCTCAAAACACCAAGGTCAGAACCAGGAGGAAGAACGATGGGCTGAAGACCACTGGAGAAAGGATCAGAAACTGCCACAGTGGGGTAAGTTCAGAGGCAGGGGCGAGGCCGGGCATCCCCGGCAGAGGACAGACAGGCCATCCAGGCGGAAAACCCTGGCACGCGTGCATCTCACATCAGCCCAGAGGCCGGGAGCAGAGGTGCCCGGCCACCCGAGGCTGCTGACTGGCCATTTCATCTCACAGGGTGGCTCAGGGAGGATGGCCTGACTCTCAGGGCAGGCTGGCTGGAGTCAGCCACGGTCCCATTGGAGGAAAGCTGTCATGGTGGGTTTGGGGTATGGGAGGGTGGTATCTGGGCTGGGAACCACAAATCTGACTTCACCAGCCCCCGAAAGGAGATTCCACTGGGAAGCCGAGAAGCTGGACTCCACAAAACATAAACAACTTTGAGAGGATGTAGACCAAAGACAGAAAAAAGTTATTATTGAATTAACTCTGTTAAAGTAGATGGAAGGAAAGGTAGAGCCGGAAGAGACACAGGAATTCTCAGGACTGCGCTGTGTTGAGGATGACAAATGAAAAGCATATCAGGCTGGGTGCGGTGGCTCACGCCTTGTAATCCCAGCACTTTGGGAGGCCGAGGAGGGTGGATCACTTGAGGTCAGGAGTTCAAGACCAGCCTAGCCAACGTGGTGAAATGCCTTCTCTACTAAAAATATAAAATTAGCCAGGCGTGGTGGCACGTGCCTGTAAGTCCAGCTACTTAGGAGGCTAAGGCAGGAGAATCGCTTGAACTTGGGAGACAGAGGTTGCAGTGAGCAGAGATCATGCCATTGCACTCCAGCCTGAGCGACAAGAGCGAAACTCTGTCTTGAAAAGAAAAGAAAAGAAAAGAAAAGAAAAAAGAAAAGAAAAGGCAAGGCAAGGCACACCATAGAGTGGTTAGTGTTGGTCATTTCTTAAAAAAGGTTTTTCTCAAGCATCTTTAGTTTACTTCCATTAATATCCACTGAAAATATGCAAACCCAACTTTCCAAACCAAAGTTAATGCTTGTAAATAATGAATTCCTTCTTGCACAGTTACTCCTTTAAAAATATCAACTTGCTATAACTTTCTTCCTTAATGCCAATTCTTAACAAATTAAAATACAATAACAGGAGTGTAATTGAGCATTTATTGCTTATGGGCTCTAAAATGAGGCTAATCAGATAGTGACTAAGCCTCAGCATGGGCTCTTTTAATAGGCATGTTTTAACATACAATAACCAGGATATTTTATTTAAAATTATTATAGAAATGAACCAAGTGTCTGCTCTCCAGATTCGAAAGCGGCAAGGGAACCCATTTATCTTTAGCTCAGCATGGGCTAAGGGATCTGTTTTCTCGCCTGAGTTAGGCATTACAACCTCAGAACTAGCTCTAAAAAAAAAATCGGTATATAAAATAGCCAATTCTTATATTTCAAGGCACTGTACAATTTAAAAAACTTTACAAAATGCATTTCCTAGTCAATAAAAGCCCTCCGACTCAGTGCTTCACACACAGGTGGGAGGTGAAGACACAGGTATCTGTGGCTTCTAGTTCCTCCCAAGAGGAACGACACTTTCTAGTTCCTCCCAAGAGGAACGACACTGGTTTTGAAAGAACTGATCCTTTTCATCTCTCTCCCCAGTTTGGTACCTGAGGAATTAAAGCTACAACCACTAAACAATGTCCTCCTTAGAAGTCAAGGGGCTGTGCAGACCCTTCACAGGTCTGAGGCAGGGTACTGGGTAAAATTAAGACAGGAAGCTTGATTCTGATATGCAAATGTTACAGATACTATCCTTCTCCATGTTCCTTGTTGAAAATGCTGATCGAAGATAAAAGAGGAAAAACCCTTTAACAAGGCATGAGGGTAATTCAAAGCCAAGTACTTTTAAACAGCACTTAACAAGTCCCTGGGGCCCACTCAAGAGCCAGGCCCCCCAGAGGTGCCATCTCCTGCCCCTCAACAGCTTGAAAAAGTAGTAATTGCAAACCTATTTGCATTTTCCTTCTCAAGTTGTCCATGATCATCATGCGGCTTATTTTTTCCAAGCAGGCGCCAGAGCAAAGGGACCTGTTTCCAAACCCGCCAATCGCTCGGTAACTGTGCCTTGCTGTCCCCCTGCAACCCTGCTCCGGCACCTTTGCCATCCCTTGTTTTTTACATTTCGCTCCTAATTATGTTGCATCTATTGCCGTACACTTAATTAGCTGCATTAATGTGATTTCTTTTCACATAGTCAAGCAATTAAGAGCTATGATTGAGTTTCATTCAATTAGCCTCAACAAACATGCTAATTGATGTCCCAGATGCAAATGAGGTGCAATGAGAGAAACCTGCTAGCAATTGAGAGCCGTGTCAGAGACCCACAGCTTTCGGCTTGCTGACAGCAGCACAGCTTAACGTGGCGCCCGCCTTCTGTGGGGCTGCCTTTGGAGAAGGACGCAGAGTCATTAGTACCTCGGTGTACCAGATCCCTCCTGATACAGAGAATTAATTGATTCGCTGCTGTATCACGTTGTCCTAGAATTTCACAGTTATGTGTTCCCAGGACCGGGAGGTTACCAAATGAGTAACA